TTAAATTCTTTGTGCCAATGTAGTTAGTGTCTACATTAATTTTTCTGCAATACATGTATTTGAAATAATACTATACAATGCTTCACAATTGCATTTCATTTGGTAATCTTGGCATTATTGTTAGTAGTTACACATGCACAATTGCCACTTGTACTAAAGTTTATTGAGTGAAGTCTTGATGTAAATGATAAACTACTAAATTGCAATGCTCACAATTGCATTTCATTTGGTAAAACTGACAATTTACTACATCTAGTATTAGTTACAGTGTAGAAGATCCTCGTTGAATACAGAAAGAAGCTCTGACAATATGTTTACAGTTTCATGCAGAAAACATGACTTTGTCAGGATCAGTTAGGCTCATCTTTTCAGTCAACTGAAAGGAAATTCCTTTTTGGTGATCAGTAGTGGGATACCAGATATGAGCCATATAGACTTCCCACATACTCTTTCTGTTAAGATTGGCTGTCAATTCTAATGTCAACGTAATGCGAGAATGGCTTTATTCAGAGAACTTGAACCCACTAAGTAAATCACGGTGAAACAGAAATGATGTTGCGATGGCAGTTCTGACGCAGGTGGAGCGGGGATGCAGGCCTGCCGAGGTGAATATTGATTGTCTGGAATGGACAGGTAGTAAATTGCCTGCGTCGGGAGGCTGGTAAGCGGATTAACAGCCACTCAATGCCGTGTCCCGTCCCCGCTCGTGTGTTGTACATTACGTACAAGTAGTCTGTCAGCTATGGGGGCACGTGTGATCTTTTGTACTCCATGTCTCATTTAATTTCCATTGGTAATGTTCACACTGTCATCCTACCTGTATATGTACAAAGTATGTCTCCTATACATGGAGACTACATGATTCTCATATACTAGTACATGTACATGCATAAGAGCAATTCCCTCTCAAATAATTACTGATAACTATACAGCCTATAGCTAGATGAGTATCTTTTAAAGTCAAAATGCAAACCTAAAAGTTTATGTTTTGACTTTATTTGATTTGCAAGGGTGTGAAATTTTACAGGAATTGTTACACAGTTCGGTTAGTACTATTCTTGCCACAGCATTGGTCGTTGCGTAATTGCCAAGCAGTAGGGTGTACGTGACACAGTTTTTGCATAATACCATCAATTTTGTTCTTGACTGTACGGCTCCCACAAGATGGACCAATACATGTATGTCCTTCACATTCTACCATTAAGTTCCTAAGTGCATTTTACAAAAAGAGCTCCTCAAAGCAATTTCCCATTGAGCCTCATGTATTATGCAGGAGTTCATCAAAGTATGACAGCCCTTTTAATGGACAGTTCCATTTTCTTGAACTACAAAGTCCTGTTGGGAACGAGTCTGACTCAATTGGATATATGTCAGACAAGCATTTGGAAGCCCCCAGGTTCTGTAAATGGGACATTGTCTGCAGTGTCATGCCTCTCCTCAATTGTGCAACATGTGGCTAGCGAGGCAGTTGTCAGATTTCTTTCTGATTGGATTATGGATTGTACATGTAGGTTGATGAAAGCATTTTTTTTAGACAGAAAAGTACATTTATTTGACAAAAGATCAGTCAAAGAGGGCGGGCAATGACTCCATCACTCTCATTCAGTTGTAAAATGAACGCGTAGTTTTCATGTCTGTATGGAGTTGAGTTTCATGACAAATAATTTTACAAAGTTACACTCACCAACTACTTTTGCCAGCTGTTGAGAGCAAAAATTGCCAGTCTTCCAATGTTCGTAAAGTCAATGTGTGTCGTTACTGCCTTCTGCTTTCATCAGCATTACAACAACAATGTAAAATAACAAAATCCTAGCTTTATGCAAGACGAAATACGACAACAACCACAATGTAGGAATGAAGTTTTGCAGACATCACAAGGATAATAATACCATACTGTAGTGTTCTTGGGATGAAGTAGTTCTTGTGGCTATACTAGTGCCTTATAGTAACATATTTGCCTATTTGTCTGTAATATGTGTGAAGTACTGTACACTAAAACTATAAATAATTCGATGTTGATGTGATTGAAGCTTATATGAATTTTATCTGTAGAAAGTGAACAGCAGATGTACATTTGTGTTGTGCAGTGATGACCGCAGTGCCGAGGTGTTCAAAGAGCGGATTGAAGCGGCCACCCAGATGAAGGCAGTGATGGGGGCAGACCCGCGACCCAACTGTCTCGTCATCGATGAGATTGACGGGGCTCCCCAGGTCAGCCATCACCGTCTTTCTTTCCCCTTTCCTTCTTTCCTATCCTCTACCAGGCATCAGAAGGTGGCTGGAAAGAGTAGAAATGGCCAAATAGAGAGATAGCATGCCAAGGAACTTGGTCTGCTGAAGAGTACAGTTTGCCGCTCCTGAAGCCTGGTAGAGGCTACTTTTTTCCATTTTTTTACCTCGAAGTTCCTACCAGTATGTTCATTCCCTGGTTTCTTTGTTTCCTTCTTTCATCTTTTCCATTTTTCCTTCTTTCTTTCTCGATCTTGCATGTTTTCTTTTCTTGATGTAGGAAACTTTTCTATTATCAGTCATCCCCCCCGTCCCTTCCAGTAACTGATACAGAGAAAAGGCAATTACAGATGTTGTGATATGCAAATGATGCCCTAGTTTGCAAAACTTGCATCTCATAATGTTCATTTCTACATGACAGATATGAAAGTTCCAGTTGTCCACCACTAACATGGTCACGCAAAAAAATATAGGTAAAACATGATATTGATGTCTCCTTTTGCAAAGGTACATATAGGACATTACTGGCTCATGTTGTGTAAGACTTAACAACTGTGACTGTGACCGAACCCCATTAACCCCCATGCCTTCCTGGCTTCCACACACACTTTGCCTCCTCAGTCCTTCAAACAATTCCGTTGGCTGAGAAGGGTTCAAGGATGTATAAAGCCTTTCCATTATTAATCTCTTACTCCCTTATCGGCTCCTATAACGGACAGAGGGAAATAGGTAAGGGATGTCAGTAATTAAGCTGAATCCATTCCAAAGCGACATCTCACCCGGGAAACATTCTGAGCGCAGTTTGTTCTGACAAGGACACTTGTCTGATAGATGTTAGTGCATTGGTGAGTAGACATTGATTTATGGTCTGCCAGAGGATGACATATGTAGCATGGTGTAGATGTGTGTCTGTGTCATTAGGAAGGAAATGAATTGTGCTCCCTAAGGTGTGAGCAGACAGTCACCTTGCCGTGTTATTTGAGCAGCGCCCTCGGAGGCATCGCTGCAGTGGCACCAATCAGGACGCGCCAGCTTCACGGGTTTCTGAGAACCGCTTTTGCGTACTTTCCAGCTTGCTTTTCATGTGAGATCCTTTCTGGTGAAGCATTGAATATAAGGCATGATAATTTTTTACAAACTTCTTGTAAAGGTGTAAGAAAGTCGTTTAATGCTGTGTTGACTGAAGCAGACGTGAAATCGTGGTGTAATGTAAAACTTCATTTTGTTCCTTGCTTGTACATGCCCTCAGGAAGGCAACGACTTATATGTATAGATGCAGTTAGATGGTGGAAGTGATCTTAAGATGCTACAATGTACCAACCTGTATGCGTGCTGATACACAGAAGTGCAGTAAGGCTGTATTTTATTGATCATCAGGCACACCAGGGCACATCTACTGGTATTATCAAGACAGGATGAAGAGCGAGAATGATCTGGCACCAGTTCAGCTCACTAAAGAGCTAATCTTCCCCTGTCGCTGACAGAATAGGCAGATTACATGTACAGTAATGTCTAACATGTATACTCTGGTTCGTTGTACTGGGGAAGTTCCCCAAGCACTTTTTGACTAGTACATTGTACAATGAAATGTAAACAATGCATGGCTTAAATATATGCTAATTTGAACTGTACTTGTATAATCAATTAGATACATCTAAGTTGACGCAAGAAATTCACCCTCAGGGAAAGATCTCATTGGAGGCATGAGGTCCCCAGACTCAACTTGTTTGATCACTGTAACCTACATGTTATAATTGCTGATAAGATGATGGCAATACATTTGTACGTCCCGCTTTTAATTGCCAGTCTACAATTGTTATCCCTGAATTTTCAACAGCAGACGAGATGTCTTATCCAGGGCTTGTCTGTGATAGTTTTGTGTCAGTTGTGATGAAAGGTTTCATTAAAAAGGAGTATGGAACTGAGCTAGGCAGAATTTGTTGGGTATTACGATCTATTAATTGATGGGTTTGATTGAAAAATCCAGTTAAAAGAGAAGGTTTAACATATTATCAAAGCACAGACAAGAAGAAATTGTTGGAGATTTCGGTCTGTTATCTATAATTTCATTTATCCATTATTTTCATTAATCATTGAGAGCTTAAAGAAAGAGCTACAGGCATGTAGCATGTACAGGCATGTAGCATAGCAAAACAGAGTTTTGAAAGCATCAATTTCCAGACATCGTCAGTTAAGCATGTCTGTCATATTCGGTTTTACGTCAGTGTTGATTGAAGATGTTGTTAAGAGTGAATTATAGTCCAATAATACACACACGACTTGATCCTTGTGAGTCATATGTCTCACCAGTGGGATCATCAGTTGATCTCCACCCACTGTCAGAAATCTTGGCCCTGAAAACTGTATAATGTGCCATGTGAACCAGTCAGAATTGCCCCGAGGAAGGTGACAGACGGTCACCAAAACGTTGGCCGAATAAAAGTCTTGGTTGTGTAAAAAGTGTCTCTTTACTCAGTGACTTACCAACCTGATGAAAACATTCAGGGATGTAATTCAAATTAGCAAAGGTTTATATAGAAAAATGGAGTTGTTCACAGAACTATACATTCACAATATGCAGCAGGTGCAGAAAAAAAGGAAAGTCCTTGAATTATTTGTCAACGGTATAGGTTTGTGGTACAGAAGTGACCGTGAAAACTGTGAACATAAAAGAAATTGAAAAATGGGGAGAGTATCAGCAGTGCATGATGAAACACTGTTGTCTCTGTAACGCCTCCGTCTTCCTTCCCAAGAGTGGACTCTATTATAATAGTAATAACAGAATTTGTTGTTTTTGTGGTCCATTTCAGTTGTGATTAAAGTGTTCGTTAAAATTGAGAAATGTATGGCACGGACCCAAGCTGAATGTTGCAAACATTGTTTGTCATATTAGCCTGGTATCCAGTCTATCATGGTTGGGCCAGGCTGAATAAATGAATGAATGAATGACTGGTTTATATGTATGTTAAACATCGCAGCCATCAGGCTGAAATACGTTTTACTTACATACAGTAGTACATGAAAGTACGTTTCACTTACATAGAGCACAACTCAATATGACGAATCGCATAAAATATTACCAAGTATTAAAATATCAATTAAAATAAAATATTACAATAACTAAACATCTGATTGTGGTTGATTTACAACGTATTATTTGTTCGTGTTAAGCAGTCTCAACAGTCTTTGGGGCTCTAATAGTTTTTCCACGTCCAGCTCAACAGACCGCCCTGTAGGAGTGTTACACCTGTGATAGAGTTTGGCACAACGGGAGTTGATTATCGTGGTGGGGCTAATTTAACTCCCGTCGTGCAAAACCTACCGGGGAACCTAGCTGAGTCGAGCAGGGAAGAGCTTCTGCAGCCCCGAAGAAAAAATGTCCCAACCGCCATAGACTGGACACCAGGATATGTGACATCTTGCTTTTGCTTTCCCCCTTTCAGTTGAAATGAAAGATTTTGAGTTGAGATGAAAGCAGACATTGTTGATGACTGGTGGGTCATATGTCATCTTGAAGATTGCCTTGCTTCCTATTACTGGGTCAGGACCACATGTGAACCTGACATCACCTTATTTTAACCTATAGCACTGTGTTTTCTAGTAATCAATATATTGGGGAAGTCCGCACAGCACTAATACCTGATGACGAGATGAATTCTACATGTACCTCCGTAATAGCAAAGAATCACTAAAAGATAGGAAATCAGAAAGATGACATCATTTCCAGACTCACTAATAATCAATGATACATGTAGCAATTCTATTGACTTCAGGAAGTTCAAAAAGAGGACAATTAAGATTTGAAAGTCATAATCAAATAAAAAAAGTTATTGATCTTAAAGTGTACTATAGACACTGCTTTAGGTGTAGATCACAGGACCTTTAAATTTCTCTTTTAGTTTATGCTAACAACTGTTAACAGTGAAGCGATTTTGATACGACATTTCTATCTGAGGGACATCCCCAATCAAAGCTACATGTAGGTACATGTACTCAGCTTCACCTGAGTGAAGTGAGGAAAGTCGTGTAAATTGCCTTTCCCAAGGGCAGAGTATCAGAGCTTGTTGGTGGATTTGAACCCAGGACCTATGGGTTCTGGGCCAAACACCCAACCATTATGCCACACAACCTCATACCACATGGAGCATTCATGTGGAATAAGCAGATAAAAGGTTTCAAACCTGCAGGTATGGCCTCTAATGGTAGCTTGGAGTCATTATTGTGATGCCTCACCATTTCGGTCATCCAGCAAACACCTGTTACCTTTACCATACATATCAGTCATTATACTGTACATGTATATCATCATAACTATTACGATAGAATCATGTAATGAGTTTGAAGCTGAAGGGTAGTGCAGCTCAACATATCTGTGGTAACACATTCTGGCTGCGTGACTTTAGGATGAAGATGATCATCAATGAAGACAAAACATTCAACCTCTTCACCTGCCAACAGTGTGCCGTAAGACATACTTACCATGTCTGGCTTCTTGGAAGCAGCTGTTTCTTACCGTGACCTCTTCTTGCAACCTGATCTTTCTTGCCAGCCTGGTTTAATCTTCGTGAATGGAATGGCCTTTTCAGTTAGGTCCCCCCAAAGGCTGTCTGATACAGATATGTTGGTCCAATTTGTCTTTGGAGAGCATATTGAGCACTGACCCTCCTAATTACTTGTTTCGTTCTGTTTGCTGACAGTACTTTCAAGATCCTGTCTAGACAAGTTAATTCAATCATGTCAACATTGGTCTCAAGTCGGTTTCTCCAAAGTAGTTTACAAGTTGAAGCATGCAATAGGTTCGAAATGAGGTTTTTATGCTAGATAGAGATCAACAAAACCATTTCTGAATGCAGTACTTAGCTTGAAAAGTGATCCCTGTTGGTAGAATTTATGCTGAAGCAGGATTTAACTATAATTTCCTACATAAAAGAAAATTAGGACAAGAGAAACTTTAAACATTTAAGCATGTATATGCCGACTGG